TCCATATGTACACTCACATGTCTACACAGACATACTCCACATGTACATTCACATGCACACACATACACACTCCATATGTACACTTACATTTACATCCATACACATTCTGTGTGTATACCCCCCACCACACGCACACATACCTCACACTCTGTATGTACACACACACACACACACCACAAACATACATTCATGCAGAGAACACAAACATGTGCACACACATGCACGCACATGCATATTCTGTATGTACATCCACATATAGACGATAGATCACGTGCACACACCCCCACACTTTGTATGTATAACCTCTTGCACACACTGCACACACACATACTGCACACATACCTGTATGTACACCCACACACATGCACACTCTGTATGTACATCCTCACATACACATACCACGCATACATTCATACAGACAACATACACATGTACACACTCAACACGCTCCACTCCATATGTGTGCATTCCACAGGCACAATCCCCTTAGTCTGCACACACTATGAACACATGCAGTCACAGATGCACACACATGTACATGCTCATGTGTACCGTTCTTTTCGGCCAGCTGGGATGAGCTCAGACACAGACTCATAGCGTCTTGTCATTCTACATATAGTTCGGAGCACCTGTCCTGTGCAATCCAGACACTGAAGGATGCCTGCCCCTGCAGCACCTGTGTCTCTGAATGCCACAGAGCTGCAGTTTCAGGAGACCCCCCTCATTCAGACCAGCCACAGAGCTGCAGTTTCAGGAGAACCGCCCCTCAGAACTACTCCTGCTTCCTGTTTGCAATACCCCTACCCTACTCCTGGGCTTGGGCAGGTGGGGGCAGACAGTAAGGATGGTGGGTCCTTCTCTTGCTTCAGGCTTCCTTAGGATCCCAAGATGGCCATCCTGTGGCTGCCAAAAGCCACTCCCATCCCCTGCCAGTTTATACAACCTTGCCTGAGGCAGGGCACCGGGAGTCCTGGGCAGCGATTGCTCTTCAGGGGAGGCTGCAGCACCTCAGCCTCAGGAGGTCAGACTGGGCAGAACAAGCCAGGGAGTATCAGGTGCTTGGAGGGAGAGTGAAGACTAAAGAGGCCTTATTCCTGAATAGGTCTACCACACAAGGACTGAACACCCAAACCCAGTTTCCAGGCTCACACGGGGCCTCCAAGAACACAGGCCACCTTCCTGCCTGGCCTGCATCCATTGGTGACTGTTCTTACACTGGGGGTGGGGCTGGGCCCTGGAGACCACCATCTGCCTGCCTGTTGGCTGTTTCTGTTCCCTGGGGTCACCAGAGGCTGGATCGATGCGGTCCCAGCTGCCCAGCACCTCCCTATTACCAGCAGGCCTGGCCTAGCCCTAATTGCTAACACTGAGGCGTCTGTGAGGGCCCAGGTGGCAAAGCCCAGGCTGCCTCTGGCTCCCCTAAGGCATGGCCTGGCTGGGGACAGGGGAACGGGGAAGAAAGGCAGTGCCGGGCAGGGCATCTGTGAGTCCCAATTAAAGACCCGAGTGGCATAGTCTGAGAGCCCCTAATTTGGTTTGGGACAATGAACTGGAGAAATTGGCTCTAGTCTGAGTAGTCTGAAGCCCCATCTGTCCAGCCTGGGAAGTGTTTCTATAGTCCCAGCGCTGGGTACTGGGGGAGGGCACAAACCGGTCCCCTCTGTGGGCTACTGGTTGCTACAGTCTACCAGCACTTCCCCTCAGTGTCACCAGAAGAGCCTGCGTTTGAGGAAGGTTAAAATTTCTACCCCCGTTCTGCAGATGGGTAAACTGAGGTCCAGAAAGGCAATAAAGCTGTTTACCTTGGCTGTATCCAGGGAGGTTTCTCATAGCCTGCTGACCTTCAGCTGAAGGTTTCTTTGGTTTTGACGTTCAGGGTTGCTGTGGAAACAGGCTGATTCATACATTCAAGTTTCCAGTTAACGGTGAACAAAATAGTGTGAATATGTCCCAGGCAGAATTTGGGATAAACTTACGCTAAGGTAGTTTATTGGGGGTTTTATCCATGGATACTTGTGAAGTAGCCTGGGGGCTGAGGTAGAGAAAAAGTTTGGAGCCAGATGGTCTTGGATTAAATCTGGTCCTTTTGGGTATCTTATGGATGACAGAAAACTGTGCCCGCCACAGAGGCCACAACTAAATCGCTGCGGGCCTTAAAATTATCTGACCTGGCAGAGGACACTGAAGTCAAGAACCCTGAGATAGGGAGGGGACTAGGGACAGCCTGGGTGGCTCACCTCTCTGAAAGAGGCCTTCAGAGGGAGTGGGTGGGAGCTCCGTGCAGAAGAGCTACCCTGAAATAGGGCTTGCAGGGAGTACTTCTGGGAGCCAGGTACAGCAGCCTGTTAAACACAACTTCTGAGGCTTCATACATATACATACACATATACATCATATACATACACACCATACACACCATAATACCACATACATATACATATATACATATACAGGGGGGATGTTCGCTCCAGTAAATGAAACCCCGAGTCCAGAAGAAGAGATCAGAGGGGGCTGGAAGTACAGCTCCATTGGCCCAGTGCTTGCCCAGCATGTTTGAGGCCAGAGTTCAGTCTCCAACACTGTGCAGCCTGGGTGTAGTGGCTCTGAGTCTGTGACCTCAGCATTGAGGATCAGAAGTTCAAGGTCATTCTTGGCTGCCTGTGAGTTACAGGTGAGCCTGGGCTACGTGAGGAAAGAGGGAGAGAGGGATGGAGAGAGAGGGAGAAGGAGGAGAGGGAGAAGAGAAAGAGGGAGAGAAGGAGAGAGACACAGAGGACAGAGAGGGAGAGAGAGATGGGGGGAGAAATGGGGAGGAGAGAGGGAAAGAGAGACAGAGATAAAGAAGGGGGAGAAGGAGAGAGACAGAGGGAGACATAGAAAAACGTGTGTGTGTGTGTGTATATATATATATATATATAGAGAGAGAGAGAGAGAGAGAGACAGAGAGAGAGAGAGAGAGACAGAGAGAGAGAGAGACAGAGACAGAGACAGAGAGAGACAGAGAGAGACAGAGAGAGAGACAGAGAAAGAGGGAGAAGGAGGGAATAAAGAAGACAAAGGGAGAGAGAGGGAGAGAGAGACACAGAGGGAGAGAAACAGAGAAGGAAATAGAGACAGAGACAGACACAGAGAGAGACAGACACAGAGGGAGACAGAGGGAGAGATAGAGAAAGAAGGGGAAAGGGAGAGAGACACAAAGAGACAGAGATGGAGAGAGACACAAAGAGATACAGAGAGGGAGAGAAACATAGAGACAGAGAAGGAGAGAAAGACAGAGACACACAGAGAGAGACAGAGAGGGAGTCGGAGGGGGAGAGATGGGGAGAAGAAAGGGTGAGAGAGGGAGGAAAAGACAGAGATGGAGAGAAACAGAGAGAGGCAGAGAAAGAAGTGGGAGAAGGAAGAGGAAAG